TGTTGCCAAAAGGCTCCCAGAGCAAATGGATTATGCATATTTTAATGCACACACTACAAGTATAAAAATCTCTGTCACATGAAAAAAGAAATATATATATAAATGCACCAAACTTGGATCAACAGAGTCAAAAGGTCTTAAAACAGCCTTTTCTACATGTTCTTCTGGCATCTTCAGTCATCACAACAAGAGAAAGCATCCCATGAGTCTTTAAACAAATGAGAGATATCTGGAATAAAGGTAGCATCTCTATTGCAAGGAGTGTGGCCTTAGGGAGGGCAGTTGAGCCAGTGGGGGAAGCTGAACCTTAGCGTTAACTAGAATTATAAGCATAAGACAAAAACAGAGAGATTAAAATTATAAATCAAAGACCGTTTAGTTTCATACCAGGTGTTAAAACCCTCCTTCTAAATGCTATTAATCTCAGACATTTAACTGGCTTTAATGGGAACAGTCTCAGTCTCTGTAGCAAGACACAGGGAGTCTTCCATTAGGCACAATGACCTCATCCATCCCTCCCTGATCCTTCTTCACCTCATATGCAGATTCAAGCACAGCACAATTTATCACTTCAATACAAACCTGTTTGCAGCTCAGTGGTCTGCAGTTATGTTACACACCAGGCACAAAGTTTCTGAAAGAGAATGAAGTTCCTTGAACTCTGAAATTGCTATTGCTGCTTTGAAGCAATGCAGGTTCCCTGTAACAAAGAACTATTACTGAACTTTTCATTGTTATGTTTCATTTGTTAAAATTCCACAGGTTCTGCACAAAGAGAAACCCTCATCACTACATACACAGTACCATAAAGAAGACACCAGAAGAGTCAGAAGCCCAGGAAGATCTTTTCTTCATAAATGGATGAAGTCAAAGAATTAGGTGGGTGGAGAAATGACTGACCTATACATTACTTTAAATTGGAAATTACTTATATAATTATTATTCTTTCCCTTTTAACTGCTCTTATTCTGTAATTCCCATCCATTTATCTAAAACCACACCCTCGCATCCCCTCTTTCTGCAAGGAAAATACTCTTTCCTCAGGACTGCACATCACTATTTGAAATTTTCATATCATTTTTTGTCTTTGCAAGTCTTGGCCATGTTACTTAGAAATTCTCAGTCTCCATTTCAGCTTCTTTAGATTCATTTTTGCTACTGTTTTAATAAAATTAATTTTTGACAAAAGCAACTAACCTCTCTGACCTAAAGAAAAAAAATTAAAATTTCCCCTTCAGAACTTTTTTGATTTCAAGCCCCCTTGTAAAACTTCCCAGAGGAAGTATACATACTGGTACAGGAAGTTGGAATACTCTTTAATACTTGCATCCATCCATCCATCCATCCATCCATCCATCCATCCATCCATCTCACATCTATAAACCACTGATGGAAAACCAAACACATTGTTGCTTTCATCCCCAATATCTGCTCCAATCTAAGCTCCTAAAATTCTGTTAGTTCTTCAGAACTTTATTGAGTAGATCCTCAACCTTGTTTACATATTTTCATTAAATTCTTTAGATCAATTTACCTATTTTCTCCTAATCTTCTCCTATGACCATCTTCCTTTCAGTAACCTTATCTGTTCCAGCCATTTATATGGCTATCATTATGAAATGCTGTCACTTTTGGCCTTTCGCCTTTGATCACGACAATATAACTCCAACACTTTGCTTCTTAAACTAATTCACAAGCACAGAAGTATCTCCAAATTTATCAGTATTTTCTCATTTTCTTTGTACTTCCTTTAGTTTTTGCCATTTTATCTTTCTTTTCTCTCCCCTTGAAGTCTACTGTCTCTACAAAATGGGTGTCATTAGAACTCACAAATTGAGAAAAGGTGTTCTGGCAATTTCTTGCTCCCTGAATATGCACTACAGACTGTACAGGGAACATGGTAAAGAGAAAACTGAGATTTCTGGACTAAGAATTGATCTCTCAAAGAAACAGACTGAACATACTAAAACAAATTTAACTGTAATTTATCAAGTGCCAAAGTAAGACTAAAAGCATTTATCTCACAATGAGGGAAAAGGCTCTAAGCTCAGTGGGAGACCACAAATTGCATAGCATTAGCATTAAATTACAAAGCAATAAAATAGCTTAACATTTTTAAAAATAGTGTTAGTAACAGAATTCTCTTCTGGGACTGCAGCCTGCAACCTTACTATTTATAAAATTGCATCAAAGAACCACTACAGTAGGTGAGGCTGGCTGTTTAGCCAAACTGAAATGACAAAACCAACTCAGACAAACATCCAGCCTGACCTACTACTCTGTCTTCAGAAGCACCTAAGAATAGATGTTTAGAGCAGCCAAATAAAAAAATGATCTTCCACTCTACTCAAAACGCTTCATATTTTCCTGAATTTGCTGCTCAATAACTTTCTTACCCAGGGGTAGTACCTTGTTTAGCAACTTTTTTTTTTTTTTTTTTTTTTTATTTTTTTTTTTTCTTTTTAATTTTAATTTTCTTCTTTTTTTTTCCACCTCCTTTTCCAAATTTGTTCAGAAGCTCTTTATACCCATGCAGCACACACGGCATGCTGAGGCAAGGAATTTCAGAATTGACTTACACATTATGCAAAAAAACAAAACAAAACAAAACATATATTTTCCTAGCTTTAAAACTGTTCCCTGCCTGATTCACTTCATCTCTCTTCTAATATAAAATTAGGTGGCACTGACTATTCATTTCCCATCCACATACCTCACAGCTCATATAATTTCATAAACACCTAGTATTAGCATCTGGCCATTCTCCTCCAGTCTGGAAACTCTCATCTAGTTAGTTGTTCTTGTATGGATGCTGCTGCGTGGATGTCTTCTGCATCCTGCTGCTCTTCTTCATTTTTGTTGCCCTTCTCTGAAACTTTTCCTGTTCTACTCCATTTGCTCTGAGATGAGGAGACCAGGACACCATCTTTAAGACACAGACGCTTCACAGATTTAGAAATTGCTCTAATATTTTGATTTCTCTCCTTTCAGAGCAATTCCTGATACAAGTTTGCTTCCTGATTGCTACTAAAGTATAGGCTTGATTTTTTCAATAAATGCCTGCTTATAGTCCCAAGACCTCAAGCTAACTCAAAATACTTTAACATTACTGATCCTGAATTTCTTTCACCATTTTAATGGCCACTTGATTTTACAAGGTTCTTTTGCATTTGTTTCAGTCTTCCCCCATTTTGTTTACCTTCTTTTGTCCTGAAAAACTTAGTTTCAGAAACAAACCTTGTCACCACACATTTGTCCCAAGTCACTTATGAATATAAAAATTCCCCTGAGGCACTCACAGAGATATCTATGGAAATTCACTGGTGATTTCCAATGCACTTTTCTCCTGAAGCTTTTTCCCTACCATTTAAACAATTATTTACACAGTTGGCAGTCCTCCTCCTTAACTTGCACCTGTTTAGTTCCTTTAAAAATTCTTCAAGAGAACTTTGAATATGAAATAAATTTTCATAGTTTAAGTAGAACAATACATCAAATGATGTCTTTCACCTCCATGCCATTTGTCTCCTTTAAAGATCACAGGCCATTTTTGTGATTTGACTTCAAATCACAAAAATGCTGGCTGCATAAGATCTCTGTGAGTCTTCCAGTCAGACAGTCTGGCTAGCCGTTAAAGGCCACAGAAGATGAGGTCAGCCATAGCACTGTCCAACTAAGGCTTGAGAGCTCCACTGGAGAGGTGCCACCTCCACCACAAACCCATGTTTTATTCAGTGCTGTAATGCACTCCTACAGAAAAAGATTTACCTACAATGTCCAGTCAGAACATTTCCATTTGCAATCTGTGTGCATTAACCTCCTGCTATTGGCTTGCCACAACTAGGAACATTGGCTCCATCATCTTTGTAAACGTCCTTCAAACAGTTGAAGGCTAATATTAACCAGTTCACGAAGTCTTAAACATCCTCTTAATCAGGCTTTTATTCACAGAAATCAAGCCTTTCTCAGAATCTCCACTGTAATACTCAAAGTTCTTTCTAAAACAGAGATACTAATCTAATTTTTTTGTTAATCCACTCAGTTGAAAAAAGAGGCCCACTAGGTTTTAGACTCCCTGAGTCCACATGAATGCTTTCTGAAATATGGTATGAAATTAGACATCTTCATGTACTCAACTGGTGAGACACTTAAAAGCATGGGGCTGCATGCCACAGTCAGCAGCTAGTCTATTTCACACTACCATTCCTAAAACCACTGGGTAAACTACATCTGGACTGTTAAATTGAGAATAGGAAATTTGTTCCCCAGAAAGGCAATTTCCTAAGACTCCCATTAGAAAGTTTCCAAAACAGGAACCACCCCACACTTTTCAGTGGTGAACACATACCCACAAGCATTACTCAGTTTTCTGCCAGGGCTTTATCTTGGATTGTTCCTGTCATAGTATCATTATACACAGGCTACACAGAGTCTTCAGCTGGCCTCCTGCTCTTGGTGTAGTCGAAAAAAAAGATTTATTAACTTTCTGTGTAGCCTGATAGGGGAATGTTTTGGTCTTATTTCCTTCTTTGAACACAGACACAGCTGTTTTTAAGATGTCCTCTTGCTTTTTAATAGTCTTGTCTGCCTTGTCATTTAGCTATACAGGTTTCCTTTTCCTAAGACATTTTTAGACTGATGGTAAGCATTTGTGTGGAGCCTCCAAACAGCATCCTGAAATAGTCATCTACAAACATGTTACTCCTACAGTTACCCTTTCAGTGTCACTTTAAACAAACATTCCCTTTTTACATAGTTTCCCTTTTTGAAGTTGAGCATAATTTAAGAGAGGTAAGAAGAGAAAAGAATTGCAGGTTCCTTTTCTTTCATTCCTCCCATTTCCATTTGTTGAATATCCTTAGCTTAGGGAAAAGAGAAAGGCAGAAGAACTGTAAGGGTTCACAAAGTCACATGACAAGATGTGATAGTCTGTTTCCAGACATCTTACAATCTCTCCATGACATCATCACCTACTGACTGAGCAAAATACACTCTCTTACCCAGCTTTTAGTCACCATCCCTCTATAATCACATACTGCCTCTGTTCAGTGTTCAGTGCAGAGCCGAAGTGGGGTTCTGGGTCTACCTTGGAGGCTCCTAGGAGTTAAGGAAACACAGAAGAGAGATAATAGGTATTGAGGAGAGAGCTCATCAGCAATTCTCAGACATTTATTGCAGACATTAAATATGTCTCTCAAGTCAATAAATTAGAAATGTAAGGCACTTTAACTACACAGTGTGAAAAAGTACCAAATGGAAAGAGACAGAAAAAAAAAATCATTCTTTAAAGTACCTGGCAGCTTGGGATGAGAATCAGAAGAGGAATACTTGCTGCAGAATTATCAAAATCCATGAGACATGAATTTGAGAAAAATCTGTACTATAAAATTTTGCCTTGGTGCCTTAACACCACTAAAATTAAACATGCTTAATACGTGGACTCAAATCTATCCCTGAGTAAAATCCATGGCAAAACTCAGATGGGTAAAACTTCAGTATTCTTCCATCTTTCCATAAAACATAAAGTTCAAGAGAAAAACGTAGTTACTCGCTAATATCTCAAAACAATACAAAAGGAATTTTCAAGAAAGAGATGCATCATTAAGCACATTTCAAGACATTAACTCATCTTGTAGGAATGACAAATATAATATAAATATTCAAAAAATTATCTTGCTTTTTTATTTATTGAAACAAAGTAAGTATTGCTAATCAATCATTATCTCTACCTGAAACAGCAAGACAGGAATCACATAGCTGTTTCCTGCTCTTAACACCTCAAGAAAGAGGCACTTCAGAAGAAAAAACAGTAGTACTCTGTCCAGTTTAACTATTCATTTCCTAGATTGAGAATGTTGACAGAAGAAATACACCAGCAATCAACAGTTAACCCTTGAACCTAAACAGAGACATGAGGCAAAAAAAGGAGTCATTGTTCCACTCTGTTTACTCACTTATATGAAATGACTGTACTAGATGACTGGAAGTGTTTGCAATTTTTTTCCAGTGCTTTCCTGACCCATGAAAGTCTCAGGGAATCTGCCAAATGTATAAACATATAAATATTTTGAAACATCATACGAACAAGAAGAACTCTCCAGCTTGGCCAACAAAGATTCAGATTTATGTTTATCACAACAAAATTTCTCAAGAATCCCATTCTCCCTATCACCAAGTACTTCAGATTATAATTCACATATTTTCTCCTAAATTAAGAATTGCATCATATCATTCATATCGTATGTACACATATACACACCCCTCAGTGAAATTCAGTGATGTCAAACTCTGCTGTAGAAGTTGCTAAAAGCAGATTCAGATGGTGTTCTCCAAAGCATAGGGGTCAACTGAAGCTAAAGAATATGGAAAGTCACTTTTAATTTCACAGTCCAAGGTAGTAGGAGAAGCTTACATTTTTTGACAAGACATTGCATCACCTTTTCTTTGCCTCCCACTTTTCAGAAAGGCAAGGACAAATTTATTTGGAAAAGGACCAAATTCTGTTTTTATACTACTATGTACCAGAGAATACTCAAACACCTCAGCACTCAAACTACCAGTCACCAGTGCATGTTGATGACAAACTACTCTGAGATATTCAGTCTGTCAAGTAATTAATTTTAACTGTTACCATACAGTAAGTTCTACAGATAACTACAAGCAACCCATCTCCCCAAGATGGAGTGTGCAAGTGATTTATATATGCACTCACTACACCAGAATGAGCAGCTGAATTATTATACTTTGAAACATTACAAAGAAGGCTGTATACCTCAATTTTCCTAAACAAGCCTAACACTACTAGTACTTTTTTTATAAGTGCTTGAACCTGCCCACTGTCCCCCCTCACCACTCCACAATTCTTCTTTCTACATAAACATAGATGATTTTATTTGATTAAAATAAAAGCTTGAGCAAGTTTATTCTAATCTTAATAATTACCTAAACAAAACTGGAAAGCAGAGAATGAATCCATCCTATTAATTTAGGGAAAACATGTGCGTGCACAAAAACTAATACATGAAGGTTAGATTTCTACAGATTTACATCTTGCTTCTCTTACACTTCTTCATACGGCAACTCTGCTGCTTCTATGACTGTGGCGGCCCTCTCATCAAGCAGTACATGCTGTGGGTAGTATAATACCAGAAACTACCCTTAGTACTCACTAATTTAAGCTAAAATTAGGCTACCTCAGTCTACACAGCCCACATCAAACCAGTCTTGCAGAAACTGTAAATAAAGCCACAAAAATTAGAAGTCTAACTGCAAGAAAAACACATCAATTATTTTACTGGAAGGTATGCAATCATGTTTTAGTTCATGTTTTAGTTCTGCTTTGGTTTAGCATCAGTTGCTAAAGCAAAAAGGCTAGTCTGGCTTTGCTTCATGCCTCTGTCTCCCACTCATGCCTTTCAAAATTACTTCTGGAATGAATGAACAGTTTCAGTCTGACTCAAAAATTTCCATGAAAATGGTCAGGAAAAACAAACTCACTTTCCGAACAAGTGTTTGTACCTACTCTCAATGAGAAACACAGGTACTCAAGAGGGAAATTAAGCCATGTACGTTTTATTTCCCAGAAGTTCACTAATTTAAAAGAATGGGGCAGTGAGGGGACTTCTGCAAATGGAGAAAAATAGACATAGGTGAATACTAGTGGCAGGTTTCAATAAATTGTCACAAGATTTAAAGCTAAACACATGGGAGTGCTGATTCCTGCTGCTGATAGGATATGGTACTAAAGTCACTGGTACGACCAAGCAGTGTGATTGAATCTGATTGGGTCACCAGGGAGAGCATACATGCAGTTACCACCTTTGCTGTTATATGGGTATAGGCACTGTGCTCACATCTGTCTACTACACTTGAAAAGGCATTTGGCTACACACTGAAATGAGACAACCACAGCATGTCTAGACACCATGGCTTGTCTGCATACCGAGGCTTCCCACTGCTGCTGTAGCTGGCACAGCAACGCTGTGGCAGTGTGCCACAACAGAACCTCACCTCACCTAGTCAGCTGAGAGTTTGCCCAGGCACTCAGGATCTTCACACGATACTAATGACAACGCCTGCTCACCTCACAAGACAAAAAAGGACACCAAGTGGGATAAGAACATGCCAGGCCCACATCATTTCACTAGCCAGCCCTGGCTTTTACTCCACGAAGTTGACAACCTGAGTTAAGGAAGCTGCTCCAAGTGACTGTGGATGATGTCAGCGGAGCTAAAGTAGAAGTGTTAGGGAGACCAGGTAGATGGGGCTTTTCTGCACATTGGTGTTCTCACCATCCATGCAAAGGAGAACTGAACAAATGTAAGTAAACTTCACATACTGCTTAAAATACTATTGAACACATTCTTTGCTTTTGTTGATATCTGGAAAGAGACAAAATCTTGTCAAAACTGAAAATATATCAAAACTGGGAAAAAGAGAGGAAAATAAGAGTAAGAATAAAAAGATAAAAATATTCTCCTTCCTTTTCCACTCCGCCAAAACATGCCTGCATTATGCAAATACATCCTACTTTCAGGAATCAATCAAAGATGAATGGTTACAACTGTAATCTACTACCTTGTGTTCCTTCTACAAATACTAACATTACTCCTTGTGATTTATGCTAGCAAGTATTACTATGTATATTTCTGTCTTCATGCTGAAGAGCTCCTTGCATAAGGAAAAAGATCTTATTAAATCAGCTTATTTGCTTGAATAAAGAACGCACATGGAAAGATGGCAATTATTGAGCAGAATCTAGGCATAAGAAACATGAAAGAAATAGGAATAGCCTTCTTACAAATCTGCATTTTGTTCATATGCTTTCCAAATCACAATATTGGGCAGAATAAAACCAAAATAAAATAAATGTAGGGATTTTTAGGGGGGAAAAAGCAGAACAAATGAAAAAATCAATAACATCCTTGAACATGTCCCAGCCACCACCGCTTGAGACCACAGAACCAGCCCATACAAATGCATCCCAGACAGAAACCTGCAGACACACTGCAAAGCAGAAGCTCAGTGTACAGAGTGCTAAGCCCTGTCCTGCTTCACGTGCAGGGCTGGGAAACTTCAAGACACATGTGTCTTCTGGGTCAAGTCAGAAATAACATCCAATGAAAAGAGGATCAGTACCAGCATTCTCTTAAGCTCCAGCTTCGTTCTTACCTTGCTGAGCACAAGCTCCCAGGCATTAACAACTGTGGACATGTGTGCACACACACGGGTGCATGCAAATCACATAAGCAATAGATCTGACTCATCCTGAGTTTTTCAGGCTGACTCCATAGGCATGGTAAAGTAAAAAATAATCAGAAAATAATCAGTAAATAAAATAATCATAACAGACTCCTTTAGGCTAAAATAGATGAAATGCAGAGACTGGAGTGCCAGGACAGGAAACATATTGCTAGAAGGAAAGCATAGACCAGAATATGTGTAGTCACTAGTCAGCCAGAGTTCTCTGGGTGAAAATTACAAAACAGAATGACAGAACATTTAGCTGGTGTTGCAGAGATTTGACTAATAATAACTCATTTAAAGTCACTAAACCTGCCCTGCTACTTGTTTTTACTCCACTGAGGTCAAAGTGACAGGATGTGTTAATGTTCATTTAGCCTTTTAACTAACCACCACAGATTTACAGTCCAAGAGCAGCAGCACTTAGGTCTTCCAAAAAGCCCACCATGATCCCAAAATAGTCATTTTAAAGTATAATACATTATTAAGACTGCTGCCAGAACAAACAGAATTACCTTGTTTAAAATGGTAGAGATGGAGAAAAACAGTAATAAAAGAGAAATAATTGTGGGCTTGCTCCCACTGAAGTCATGTTTTTCATGAAGACTTCAAAGAGCAGGGAAAACATGCCCTTTATCCAACTTTCTGCAAATTACATTATGGAGTCATTCTATTTAAAATAAATCAGTTCAGATACAATTCTGATCTCGAGTTTGATAGAAAAACTTCTGAAAATCTTTATTCTTGAATGTGACACCATCCTTGTGCTTCTCTGGTCTTTTACTGAAATCTATAGGATATTTCAAGTGCTCTGGTGCCACTGGTATTTGCTGCCTACATGTCTCAAAACTTTT